CTTACGACACGCATGGCTTATGGGGGAAGAAATCTGTTCCACTTCCCCATGGAGATAGGAAATAAACAAGAACTACATGGTAAGAAAATAGAAGAAAACCCAGAGGGGTGTGTGTGTATATATTTGTTTGTATATGCAGTTGTAGTATAACCTAAGTGTAAGTAGAAGTAGCAAGAGTACCTGAAATCTTGCATGTTTATGAGACAGAAAAAAGACACCAGCAATCCTACCATCATGTAAAACAATTATGGGTTTCCATTTTACACTCGCTTGGCAAGACGGTAATACCTCCCTGGATGGTTGTTGTCTACCAGCCTACTACCTAGGAAAGGATACATATATTATGACAATATTTTACAAAGTGAGAACCTGTCTCCTGATTTAGCGACTTTGTAGTGCCTCATTACTAACTTCCGTAAAATAAAAATGAAAATATTCACATTTCTTTAAAGATTTGAAAAAATATAAGCCTGCTACATATGCACTAAATGAGCATACATAAAATGCCTCAGACATAAGGTGCCCAAAATCACTAGACATGTCCTCCCGGATGCAAGCACATACATGGCCAAGGAAGCTACAGGACTAATTTCATTCTCCTCCCATTTGAAATACCAGTCTTCACAAGCATTGCACATTAATGCATCCATGAATGAGTGGTTTTATGATAAAACAATGGAAATAAAAACCTTTGCTTCCAAACTTAACTATTAACACCCTTCATCCATATACTCTGTACCCAGCTCCACCACATCTCTGTGTTATTTCAAGAAGTATGCAGTAAGCACCACTGCCTGAGTATTTAGGTCAGCGTTTCTCAACCTTTTTACCCTTGTGGAACACTTGAAATAATTTTCATGTTGTAGGGAATGCCTACATAAAATCATGATTTTTTTTTTTTCAACAAGTCGGCCGTCTCCCAGTGAGGCAGGGTGACCCAAAAAAAAGAAAGAAAATCCCCAAAAAGAAAATACTTTCATCATCATTCAACACTTTCACCACACTCGCACATTATCACTGTTTTTGCAGAGGTGCTCAGAATACACAGTTTAGAAGCATACACATATAAAGATACACAACATATCCCTCCAAACTGCCAATATCCCAAACCTTTCCTTTAAAGTGCAGGCATTGTACTTCCCATTTCCAGGACTCAAGTCCGACTATATGAAAATAACCGGTTTCCCTGAATCCCTTAACTAAATATTACCCTGCTCACACTCCAACAGATCGTCAGGTCCCAAGTACCATTCATCTCCATTCACTCCTATCTAACACGCTCACGCACGCTTGCTGGAAGTCCAAGCCCCTTGCCCACAAAACCTCCTTTACCCCCTCTCTCCAACCCTTTCGAGGACAACCCCTACCCCGCCTTCCTTCCCCTATAGATTTATATGCTTTCCATGTCATTCTGCTTTGATCCATTCTCTCTAAATGACCAAACCACCTCAACAACCCCTCTTCTGCCCTCTGACTAATACTTTTATTAACTCCACACCTTTTCCTAATTTCCACACTCCGAATTTTCTGCATAATATTTACACCACACATTGCCCTTAAACAGGACATCTCCACTGCCTCCAACCGTCTCCTCGCTGCTGCATTTACCACCCAAGCTTCACACCCATATAAGAGTGTTGGTACTACTATACTTTCATACATTCCCTTCTTTGCCTCCATAGATAACGTTTTTTGACTCCACATATACCTCAATGCACCACTCACCTTTTTTCCCTCATCAATTCTATGATTAACCTCATCCTTCATAAATCCATCCGCCGACACGTCAACTCCCAAGTATCTGAAAACATTCACTTCTTCCATACTCCTCCTCCCCAATTTGATATCCAATTTTTCTTTATCTAAATCATTTGATACCCTCATCACCTTACTCCTTTCTATGTTCACTTTCAACTTTCTACCTTTACACACACTCCCAAACTCATCCACTAACCTTTGCAATTTTTCTTTAGAATCTCCCATAAGCACAGTATCATCAGCAAAAAGTAACTGTGTCAATTCCCATTTTGAATTTGATTCCCCAAAATTTAATCCCACCCCTCTCCCGAACACCCTAGCATTTACTTCCTTTACAACCCCATCTATAAATATATTAAACAACCATTGTGACATTACACATCCCTGTCTAAGACCTACTTTTACCGGGAAGTAGTCTCCCTCTCTTCTACACACCCTAACCTGAGCCTCACTATCCTCATAAAAACTCTTTACAGCATTTAATAACTTACCACCTATTCCATATACTTGCAACATCTGCCACATTGCTCCTCTATCCACTCTATCATATGCCTTTTCTAAATCCATAAATGCAATAAAAACTTCCCTACCTTTATCTAAATACTGTTCACATATATGCTTCAATGTAAACACTTGATCTACACATCCCCTACCCACTCTGAAACCTCCTTGCTCATCCGCAATCCTACATTCTGTCTTACCTCTAATTCTTTCAGTTACAACCCTACCGTACACTTTTCCTGGTATACTCAGTAAACTTATTCCTCTATAATTTTTACAGTCTCTTTTGTCCCCTTTCCCTTTATATAAAGGGACTATACATGCTCTCCGCCAATCCCTAGGTACCTTCCCCTCTTTCATACATTTATTAAACAAAAGTACCAACCACTCCAACACTATATCCCCCCCTGCTTTTAACATTTCTGTCATGATCCCATCAGTTCCAGCTGCTTTACCCCCTTTCATTCTACGTAATGCCTCACATACCTCCCCCACACTTACATTCTGCTCTCCTTCACTCCTAAAAGATGGTATACCTCCCTGGCCAGTTCATGAAATTACCGTCTCCCTTTCTTCCTCAACATTTAAAAGTTCCTCAAAATATTCTCGCCATCTACCTAATACCTCCCTCTCCCCATCTACTAACTCCCCTACTCTGTTTTTAACTGACAAATCCATACTTTCCCTAGACTTTCTTAACTTGTTTAACTCACTCCAAAATTTTTTCTTATTTTCATTAAAATTTCTTGACAGTGCCTCTTCCACTCTATCATCTGCTCTCCTTTTGCACTCTCTCACCACTCTCTTCACCTTTCTTTTACTCTCCATATACTCTGCTCTTCTTATAACACTTCTGCTTTGTAAAAACCTCTCATAAGCTACCTTTTTCTCTTTTATCACACCCTTTACTTCATCATTCCACCAATGACTCCTCTTTCCTCCTGCCCCCACCCTCCTATAACCACAAACTTCTGCCCCACATTCTAATACTGCATTTTTAAAACTATTCCAACCCTCTTCAACCCCCCCACTACTCATCTTTGCACTAGCCCACCTTTCTGCCAATAGTCGCTTATATCTCACCCGAACTTCATTATGTATCATTATTAATATCTTTCTTTCTCTTTTATAAACTTAAAATTCATTAGGAAAATATAATATATTCTGATAACTAGTTAAAGCAAGAAAAAATTCATTAGGAAAATATAATATATTCTGATAACTAGTTAAAGCAAGAAAAAAAAACTTATGTTTTTTTCAAGTTTATTGGCTGTGCCAAAATAATATACAACTGAAATCAAACTGCTTGCTCAAGGGACCTCATATGGAGGTTTTCATACACACAAAAAAATAAACTATATATGTAAACAAGGTGGTGGTGTTAATGTTGCAGTTTTATAACTGTCATGTAAGCATGCCTCTGGCAAGACAGTGATGGAGTGAATGATGACAGTTTTTCTTTTTCAGGCCACCCTGCCTTGGTGGGAATCGGCCGATGTGTTAATAAATAACAAAAAAGTAAAATAAAAAATAAACATAACCAGTATCATACAGAACACACACAAACAGAACAAAAAAGATAATTACTATTGCAATAACTTTAATTGTTTATTGACAGTGTTGAAAAGGCATAAGATAAATCAAGGCAAGATGTCATATGAACAGATATATGGGTCCATGAAATGTTATTTTTGAAGCCAATTTAGATACTGAATTTGCTTCTCTAATGTGAAACTTGTGGTTGTCTTTTGGTACACAAATACACCATACCACTGGCGGGATTTGAACCCGCGGTCAGAGTCTCAAAACTCCAGACCGTCGCGTTAGCCACTGGACAGTCAGTTACACAAATACTTTATTCAGATTGAATATGCCTTACAGGGGTCAGTGCCCTGAAACCCTCTCAATCTGTGACCAGGCCTTGTGGTGTATAAAGTAAAATTATTCTTCTTTCAGCAAACTGGCTATATCCCACCGAGGCAGGGTGGCCCAGAAAGAGAAAAGTTTCTCGTTTTAACTTTAGTAATAACCCCCAGGAGAAGGGGGTTACTAGCCTCTTACTCCCAGCATTTTAGTTGCCTCTTACGACATGCATGGCTTACGGAGGAAGAAATCTGTTCCACTTCCCCATGGAGAATATGAAATAAAACACAAAAGTGACTCAAAATACACTTATATATGATAAGCCTATTTATCACTATTTCTCTCTGAACCCCTTGCAACCTCTCGTGGAATCATAGGGTTATGGGACACCCTGGTTGAGAAATGGTGGTTTAGGCTGTCAATCACAAAGCCTAGCCAGAGACTAGACTGTGGGAATAGTGATCCTTGGAACCAACTTTATGTATGCAACAGGTATCACAGGTTAAGTATTCTGTTAGCTTGATTATGTTTTGTGGGATGGTATGCTCTATATTACTGTATCATATTGGTATATATTGTGCATTATTGCCTTCAAATTGGGACTAATAAGAATATTATTTTGTACTAGGTTTTTTCTGTTTATATTTCTGGTTATGATATGGGAGTCTGGTAAAATAGGTTTTGCTCTCTAAAACTTTTCACAATAACACTCGCATGGTTACTTCCTTGATTTTGTGTTAGTAAATCAGTTTATAATCATTTGGGTGTATTTCTGTGTCTTCCTCTACTAGAATTTTTTTTTAAGAGCTTGTACAACAAGCTGTATAATGGCTTAAAAGGAATTTAATATGGATGGTAATGTTTCTCTTTGATCTTAGACCTTATTGGAGGCACAGACAAGAAAATTGATACTGCAAAGACATTAAATGTGCACTGTGTGAGTGAAGATTTCTTGGATGAAGTGGACAGTGGGGGTGCTTTGCTGATGATCGAGAAGAAGAGCATTGCTCCATGGGGTGGTAATGTATGTGTTTTGTGCTCAAGCTGCCTGATAAATACTAGTGTATGTTAATATTGCCATTCATAATACACAGACTTTAGTGTTAATGTGGTGGGATCTTGTACACATAGTAAATAGTTTGTGAGAAAGGTGGATGTGAAGAGTTGCACATGTGTGCATGCACACAAGTGCTCTGAAACTTCATTTTGTAATGAGTACCTAGTACTCATTACAAAATGAAGTACCTAGTAATGGATTTGAAAATTGTGTAATGAGTACCTAGTACTCATTACACAATTTGTAGTACAGTGCCATATATTTTTCCCCATGCAGTTTTGTTTCCATAAACTAGAGTTTCTTCATTATATTGTGGATTATGCCCCTATTTGCTACAAATTGGTGTTTCACTTTACTGTAATGAATTTTATTTTAGCATAACTGAATTGAAAGTGTATTTGCTGACTTAGATTTTATTCTTTTTCAGCTTGAGGATAAGGTTCATAGTGGCAAGTCTTCAACAAAATCATCGACACTTGGTACGTGGAATTTGTTGCTTGAAAATGGTGGAGACTACAGGCACTTTTTTTATTTATTCATCATAAAGTAAAATTGTGGTTCCAGTATTCTTATATGCTTTGTGATGTGTGTGTAAATATGACCAAATGTTAATTTCAATACAGTACAATAATAATGGCATCCCTGCTTGGAGTTTAAATGTTAAATTAGAAGGCTTTGAGTTTTAGGGGCTTGAGCATCCAACTGGCTAATGCGAACATATTAAATAGGAGTGAATTGGGACAAGTGAGTTTTCACGAATGTGCTGTTGGAGTGTGAATAAGGCAAAATGAAGTAATTCAGAGAAAATTAGGTAGCAGACTTAAGTCCTGGAGGTGGGAAGGGTAGTGCCTGCACTCTAGAAGGGATGGGGTTATTGTATTTGGAGGGTAGTCCGTGATACCAGCACACTTTTGGAAAGGCAATTGAATAAATGATGGTGTTTTTGTTACCCTCCCTTGACAGGTGATGGCTGTTAATTTAAAAAATTATTTTAAACTCATTTTTATCTGGAGTCTACCTGAATGTACATGTGAGGATAATTTCTGCTGTCTTACAAAAACTTCTATTTATAGATTCGCGTTATGTTAAAAGTATGCCAGAGAAGCAGAAAATAAAACTGAAGGGTGGTGCTGCAGTGGATCCAGACTCAGGGTTGGAGGACTCTGCTCATGTGTATCAGGTATAATTATGCATCCTATTTAGTGAATTAGCTTGAATTTTTAGAGCCTTTCTGATGTACTCCATGTGTATGATGGGATTGTTTTCTTCAAAATCAGTATGTGAATTCACCTTAATTTGGTCTATATATACAGTAGAACCTCTTACAGCATGATTTCACATGGCATGATTTGATTACAGTTAAATTTAAGAGTGCAACCAGAAAGTTTAATGCTGGGGAAAATCTTTATTACATTTCATATAGAAGTGGCTTACTTGTGAAATATTGGTATTACACTTAAATTAGCAAGTAAAAAATATTTGTGGTAGATTTTTAGGGCAGCTATTGATCACTTCCACTTGTTTCTGTGCATAAATTCAACAAGTGGAACTGTTTTTATTTATCATGCAGAGAATTCACATGTGTGTGTGTGTGTGTGTGTGTGTGTGTGTGTGTGTGTGTGTGTGTGTGTGTGTGTGTGTGTGTGTGTGTGTTTAAAGATAGTCAGAACCTGCTTGCCCATTACAGGCAAGCCCTGCTTTACAGTGGTTTTCAGTTATACCCATTCTTCATTTATTTAGACTTCCTACAATAAATATATTCAATACACACTATAAGCTAAGGACAAAAATGTTTTAAGGTAATGCATATACTGTATATGCATTTTTTTTAGGCTTAGATATATTCCTTACTTAACATATGATAGTGTAAATATGTTATCAGGCTTTTATATGTACAGTGGTGCTTCGGTATATGTCCACTTTGGAATAAATCCAACTTGGTATACGTCCTGTTTGGACTCGAAAATTTTTGCTTGGTATATGACCTTTGTTTGGAATGTGACTAGCATGCTAGAACTTGTATGGGTCAAAATGAGTTCTCACACCGCGCACTACCCTTGTTCACACCTCTCTCGAGACAAAGCTACAACTGCCCACTAGCGTCAGTACACCCATTGCTACCATTCAGTGAACAACCTGCTCTGTAGCTCTGTGAATTTTCACGTGATTTTGTGTTTCATATAAATTTTGCCAAATGGGTGGACATCAAAATCTTTGCAGAGAAGTACCACCCCAGCAAAGCCCAAACAAGCCATAATAGCATTGTGTGGAATGACCAGACAATGTCACATTTCTGGAACATCCTGAGGAGAAGGCAGAAGCAAAGTTCTTTGGACAGATTTTTAGTAAAAGTCAAACCTGGTGAGCTTCAACCAGGTCCAAATAGGGAAAAGAGAAAGGGACTCTCCTTCCAAACAATAACATTTCCTAATCCTCCCTTCTCAGCACTATCCTAGTAGGCACTCAACTCTTCAGCAAAGTGAAGTGAGGTTAAATTGGCATTTATTTCATCTAATTATTATGTATTTCAGTATTAAGCACTGTTTAAATAACATATTTTAGTACAGTGGACCTCTGGTATATGATATTAATCCGTTCCTTAGAGCTCATTGTATGCCAAAATTATCGGAAGGCGAATTAATTTTCCCCATAAGAAATAATGGAAATCAAATTAATCCGTGCAAGATTAATTTGAAAAAAAAAAAAGTTTTACCACGTGAAATATGTATTAAGTTTAATGCACACAAACTGAAGAAGACATGCACAGTTAGTAGTACTCTACTAACAATAGAATACATGACACCTTTAATGAAGATCCTCATGCAACTTCCTAGCCTTTTAACATATGATCACTTGAGAGATGCTATCTCCTGCTATCTGTTTTTTATTTATCCACACCAATAACAGTCTCTCAACATCTTCTAACACTTGCGATCTCTGTTTTGAAAACAGACATGCACCTTTTGCAAGAACAGCTTCCTTGATTGCCGTTTTCCTGGCCACTATAGTAGCGATGGTTGATTGGGGTTTTGTATAGAACCTGGCCAGCTCCGACACACTCACTCCACTTTCGTACTTTGCAATTATCTCTTTCTTCATTTCAATAGTCATTAGCACCCTTTTTCTCGAAGGGTTGGCACTAGAAGCTTTCTTGGGGCCCATGGTGACTTACTTTGGAGAAACAAGCACCAAAAACACTGATAATATGGAATGTACCGAATGTATGCTTAGATGAGAGCACACTGGCTGGCTTGTAAACACTGGCACGCACGGGGCAGTTCAGGCCACATGTGGACACGTCCTGGACGAATCGCGTGTGGCAGGTTTTTTAAAGCATGGCGAGGCAAAATTTTTGCGTTAAAATGTATCGTATACCGGATTTAACATATACCGATGCCATCGAATGCCGGGGGTCCACTGTATTAAGCAGTGTTTAAATTATTTTATACAACCCCATTAATGTATAATATGCCAATAACAATAGGATTTTTTTTCATGGGAACAAATTAATCATTTTCCCTATATTTCTTATGGGAAAATTAGTTTGGTATACGTCCTGTTTGGTATAAGTCCAAGGTCCTGGAATGGATTAACCCTTTCAGGGTCCACAGACCCTCTCAGAGACTTGTTCTCAGGGTCCCCCAAATTTCAAAAAAAAAAAAAAAAAAAAAAATCTTACGAAAAGATAGAGAATCTTTTCCCGATCATAATGACACCAAAAGTATGAAATTTGATGGAAAACTTACGGAATTATGCTCTCGCGAAGTTAGCACTCGACGATGTTTATGCATCGGCAATTTTGCCCACTTTGAGCCCAATTTTCAGCCAATTCCAGTGTACTAGTCGACAAAAATCATACCTATTTCGCTAGAACTCCATTTTTTCTATCGAATGAGTACAAGAAACCACCCATATACCGATTTCAACTGTCCAATACAGTGGTCAGAATTTAGCAATTTTGCCAATTTCACACAAATTTCAAAAGATGCCAATTTCCAAATAGGGTCCAGAATAAACAAAGACATTCCTGGCACTAAAATAACATTTCATCTGTTCATTAGTCACGTCCCCACGCCCCTCTTACATTCTTTTGCTTTCCATTTTGAATTTTTATTCTCACAAAAAAAAAAAAAAAAAAGAAGATTTACTGTTATGCAGACTACTGCATTAGTGTAGAAATGGTATAAATAATATCGGCGCACTTGTGAAGGAATATTAGACGCACCAGTTGACATGTATTGGATGCTTAGCATGATTTGTTTACTTTTGAACTTTGATAAAAATCAAACATTTCTGCTACTTTGAGCTCAATTTCAAGGTACCTTTCATTGTAAAACCAGTCAAAATCATCTCAATTTCTGTAATATGTCTTCCATTCTATCAAATGAAACCAGGAAAACTAGAATACAACAATAAACACCATACGAAAATACAGTGCAAAGCCGCTGTTTTAATCCAAAAACACGGTCAAAGATTTTTTTTTTATCATTACGCACTGTGTGCTGCAGGATTTTTTTTTATACCGCGCACACTGACCACATAGACCCATTCTTTCATATGTAGGCCTACCAGCTTTCTCTTACTAGATTTGAAGGCGCTAGAATTTATGAGTACTAGTACGTCAAGGACCCTGGCACGTAAGCCATTCTAGTACGGCCGAATCCCTGAAAGGGTTAAGGACGTATACCAAGGTGCCACTGTATTTGAAAGTGAAAAAAGACTATGATTTACTCTGCAGCAGTAACCCGGACCCTAACCTGTTGTATAAACAGGGCCCTCCTATATTTGGTGGTTTAACCCTTCGACTGTTTCGGTCGTATATACACATACCATCCGACTTACGACCAAGCTTGGTTCCAACCAACCGGTCGTAAGTCAAAATGGACGTAAGTCGAAGCTTTGAAAATTGCCGACATATTGGGTAGGGCCTAATGTCAAACTTTTCCTATATAAACTACCTACATAGTACTGTAATGTAATGTACAATCATTATTTCATTCTTTTTTACCATAATTTACTTCTATTGTTATATTTTAATTATTTATGTACTGAATATAATGTATACATGGTAATGAACTGTATTGTAAATTTTACATCGCATACAGTATCATGTGTTACTGTTATCTTTATGTATTGTCGACACAGTGAATGGGAGAATACCACTGGTAGTGTCATCCTGCCAGAATGTATTATAACCTATACCCTAAGTTTATGTGCAACAGTGAAAAATATCGAGTTTGAGAGTAAGAGCCTTTCTTGCCACAATCTCCAGTGCAAGATGCAGACTTCATCTGAGGGGCCATGGTGAAATTTACTGTCCAGTTAGTACAGTTAATACAGTATGATGCTACTGATAGGGCAGGGTAACTCAAACTGATGCTGCCTGCATGACTCATTGCCGCCGCGAGTATTGTCAAATATTGTACAGTGGTGTGCATCAGCCAGCCCAGCCCAGCTGCCAGATGCACGGTTGTAAGTCGAGTGGACGTATGTCGAGCAGGTCGTAAGTCGGATGGTAGGTGTATATGTCTTACAAGCCACCGTTTTTGACGTATATATACTCATAAATTCTAGCAGCTTCTAATCAAGCAGGAGAAAGCTGGTAGACCCACATGTGAGAGAATGGGTCTGTGTGCTCAGAGTGCACCATATAAGGAAATCCTGCAGTACGCAGTGCATAATGAAAAAAAAAACATCATTTTTTTATAATTAAAATGCCGACTTTGTGGTCTATTTTCATATAGTATTTATGGTTGTATTCTCGTTTCCTTGGTCTCATTTGATAGAATGGAAAACATTATAGAAATAGAGGTGATTTGATTGGTTTTACTATGAAAAGAACCTTGAAATGGAGCTCAAAGTAAGGGAAGTGTTTGATTTTTGCCGATGTTCAAAAGTAAACAAATGATGTCATTTTCCAATGTCCAAATAGCCATTCTAATATGCAGTCATGAATGGGTTGACATTATTTATACAATTATTACAATATTGCAGTAGTCTGCATAGCAGTAAATTTTTTTTTTTTTTTTTTTAGTAAAAATTCAAAATAGAAAGCAAGAGTAATATCAGAGGGGCCTGGAGACGTGACTGATGAACAAAGAAAATGTTATTTTAGAGCCAGGAATGTCTGCAGTGTTCATTCTGGACCTTATTTTGAAATTGTCATATTTTTTAATTTTCGTGAAATTGGCCGAATTGCAAATTTCTGACCACGTTATTGGGTAGTTGATATCGGTAAATGGGCAGTTTCTTGTACTCAATTGATAGAAAAAATGGAGTTCTAAAGAAACAGGTGTGAGTTTGGTCGACTGGAACAATGGAATTAGCCGAAAGTAGGGCTAAAAGTGGGCAAAATCGCAGATTTGTAAATATCACCGAGGTCGCTAAGTTCGCAAGAGTGTAATTCCATCAGTTTTCCATCAAATTTCATTCTTTTGGTGTCATTACAATTGGGAAAAGATTCTCTTATCATTTCATAAGATTTTTTTTTTTTCCAACTCAAGGAGACACCTCAGGATTTGTGGTTGCAACAATCAAGGGGTTAATAAAGCATCATGGATGACTTAAGAAACCCTGTTGAATGGTTAAAGTATAGTGGACCCCCGACTTACGATGGCCTCAACCTACAATAAAACTTACTTACAATGCTTGTCAACGTAAAAATTTGACCCCAACCTAAATGGAAAAACTCGACTTACATCATTCATCCTGAACGCGGCCGTCTGGTCCGTCTGGCCTGAGCACCTCAGCTGAGCTAGTGTGACATTGTTTACAAGCCGGGGCGAGCGGTTGCACTCTTACATTCAATAAATTTTGTATTCCAGTTTTTTAGTGCTTGTAACTGCTAAATAAGCCACCATGAGCTTATCGAGAATACCAAGAAACAATTAACCCCAGAGGGTTAGCCACCCAAGATAACCCAAGAAAGTAAGTGTGTCATCGAGGACTGTCTAACTTACTTACCATTGGGGTCCTTCATCTTGTCCCCCAGGATGCGACCCACACCGGTCGACTAACACCCAGGTGAACAGGAAAAAATGCCTGGAACTAGTGCTCATATTCATGAATTTAAGGCCAGCAAAGTTGGTTTGAGAGATTTAAGAATCATAGTGGCATACACAGTGTGATAAGGCCTGTTCTGGAAGAAAATGCCAAACAGGACCTACATTACTCAGGAGGAAAAGGCACTCCCAGGACAGTGTCTCATCACTCATCACCACATCTTCAATAAAGGTGTCATTTATTCTTTTTGTGTGTAGGAAAATGTATATTTCATGTGGTAAAAATTTTTTTTTTCATACTTTTGGGTGTCTGGAATGGATTAATTTGATTTCCATTATTTCTTATGGGGAAAATTAATTCGACTTACGATAATTTCACCTTACGATGTGCTCTCTGGAACGGATTAATATTGTAAGTCGGGGGCCCACTCTTATTATTTTATTCCTGCAGTGAAGATGCATCTTGCCAGAAAGAAATTTGCATTAAAGGTTCTCCTCATTCTTGATAATTCCCATAGTCATCCTCCAATCTTAATCTCTGGACCCAAATGTGAGGGTAGGTTATTCCACTCAATATGACATCTTTGACAAAACTCTGCATGAGAACTCAGAGAGTGGCATACCAAAGTTCTGGCATAAATTTAACATTGCAAATGAATTTATGCACGTTAAGGTGCCATAGAATGAAGTGCCCTGATCAACCATAAATGGAGGCTGAGGTTATTCATGGCCTTTGGTGAAGAATTCTGATTTTTCCTTAGTAAGAGGAAGGTTCTGGAAGTTGTGACTGGCAAGGAATGAGAGCTGAGGACTTTGAAAATATGCCTGAAGAAGACAATGAATTATATAATTATTAGAAGAGGAGGAAGAAGCTCTAACTGCATAATTATTGCTGGAGATGCTCAGTCCCTAGTTAAGGGAGGTATGGATAACAGAGGACATAGAACTTGATGATGTTCCCACTCAGGAGTTACATGAGCAATTCTGTGTTATTGGTAGCATTGCAGATGTCACTGAAAAGGATCCTGACAAGTCTAGAAACATTGGTCTTCAGAGGTTTTCTGGAGGAAGTAATAGTTCATTAATCAGCTGTATAAATTACTGTAGGGTAAGACAGACCAGAGACATGACAGAATACTGAAAACTCTGCATCCATGTCAGTACAAGAACCATTCACCTCAGCCTAATGGACCCACATTAACCCTCTCCTCAGCCTTCCATTTCTAGAAGAAAGTACTACCAGAATGTAAGGTCAGTTATACTGTAGTAATTTTTTTTTTATCTAGGGCAATAGTAAAGGTAATATTTGGAAGTGTCTGGAACATAATCTTTTTTTCCCCGTATGCCATTCACAAAATGCTAAATTACATTTTGTTGAATTTTGAGGAATACAACTAGCATGATATGAGTTTTCTGTGTACTCAAATTTTTTTCCAGTTGTATAGTATACTTTGTTTACTAGGGAGCCAGATTTGATACATGATTGGCGCCAAAGCAGCTGTTACCCGTCCCTCAAATGATCTGTTTATTCAAGGAAGGCCAAGATAGGTCCAGTTCCTGGGGTCAAGAGCCCCCACACTTGCCTCAAGGCCCTTGCAGAACATGGTTATCAATAATTACCAACTTACCACACAGATGTGGGTAGTCCGTTATTCCCAGATCACCACTAGCCATTTCATCTAACAATCTAGACAAAGAATGTGATAAAAAGACACAAAATTTTTCTGTCATCTTCTATTTGAATGACTCGTAGCACAGCAGGTATTGGACATTTTAAAATCCCTTGGATAAATATTGTAGAGGTAAATATAGTATCACTGGCACATTGTAGGCAAATGCTTGACCACCAGTATGGCAAATGCTCAGCCTGAGAGATGACAAGTAAACTCTATGCAGGGTTAAATTCTGTAATTACTGTAAAACACTAGTAGTGTATTTCGTCAGTGGTGTTAACAAGCATGCATGTACAACTATTTTTTTGTGCAGACTCCTTCATGTGTACAAACTTTCTAGAAGTATCAGAGACAAAATTCAGCAGATGAGAGTTAATTTTGTTTAAATATTCCAGTATATAATTTTATTCGGTTTTACATGTATTTTTATTACAGCGTGGAGGCAAGTTGTACAATAGTGTTCTTGGCATGGTTAATGTAGTAAAAGGAACAAACTCCTACTACAAGTTGCAGGTTCTGGAGAACGATGATAAAAGGAGGTTTGTAATTATTTCTACTGTCTAATTTTTTGTTTTAAAAATGTAATGAGATACTGTACACAGTCATCTGTGTGTGTTGACCCAGACTGATGAGAATTTTTGTCTTTGTACTGTGTGTACTGCTTAGATTTTAATCCTTCCCAAGTACAGTATTTCATGTATGATCATATCCTTACAGATTTGTGGGTTTTGATTAGCCAACATTTTTCGTGACTGAAAATCCATGAATAGATTAAATTATCTAGAGGTTTTTGTAAAAAAATAAAATTATATTTTGAATTTTAGTAATGCATAAAAATTGGGATGCACAACTCCATGAGAGTTTTTCAATCTTCCTCTATTGTGGCCTGATGTCCTGGTATCCTGATATCCTAACCCACCCTCCCACCCTAAGGCATATGATAGGGTGGGTAGAAGAGCAATGCTGCAAGTGTATGAAATAGATAGTAAGTTATTTAAAACAGTTTTTATGTGGATAATGAGGCTCAGGTTAGGGTATGTAGGAGAGGGAGATTATTTAACAGCAAAAGTAGTCCTTAGAGAAGGATGTGTGCTGTCACTATGGTTATTTAACATATAGTTGGGGTTGTAAAATAAATGAATACTAGGGTGTTGGGAGAGGTGTGGGATTAAAGATAATAAATATAATGATTATGAAATATGAATATAATGATTATGAAGAAAAGTTGCAAAGGTTGGTTGACAAATTTGGAAGGGTATGTAAAAGAACAAAATTTAAAGTGAATATGGGAAAGAGCAAGATAAGAAGAGTAATAAAAGATTTAGGTAATGAAGGATTTAATATTGTATTGGAAGGAGGGAGCATGGAAGAAGTCGTGTTCAGATATTTGGGAGTGGACTTGCCAGTGGATGGGTCTGTGAAAGATGAGGTAAACCATAGAAGTGATAAGGAAAAAAAAGTGGGTTGTGTATTGAGGCATCTGTGGAGACTTTAAAGAACCTTATCAGTAGAGCAAAATGGGAGAATTTACGAGAGTATAGTGATACCAACATTCTTACATGAGTGTGAATCATGGGCTTTAAATATTTCAGTGTGGCAGAGACTGGAGTCGGTGGAGATGTCATGTCTGAGGGCAATGTGTGGTGTGAACATTGTGCCAAGAATTCATAGTTTGCAGATTGGAGGTGTGGGGTTACTAAATGTATTCAGAGGGCTGAGCTTGGGTTTGTTGAGGTGGTTTGGACATTTAGAGAAGTTGGAGTAAATATAGGATGTTTAGAAAGGTGTATAAATTTGAGGGAAGGATGGGTAGGGGTCATCTTGGGAAAAGTTGGATGGAGAGTGTAAAATATTTTGTGTGCAAGGGGCTTGGACAACGACAGACTTGTTCGAGGATTAGATAAGAGCAAGAGGAAGCAAGTACTGTTTGATTGAACCTACTATTCGAGTGTAAGCAATGTAATAGTTATGAAGAGATTTAGAGAAACCAGTTAGCCAGACTTCAGTCTTGAAGATAGGAAGTGCTCTGAAGGAGTGGGGATATTGCAGTTTGGAAGGTTATCTGCACTGTGTTGGCATAACTTAGCAAAATAGTAATAGAATGAGTGATGGTGAAAGTGTTTCATCTTTTTTGGGTCACCCTACCTCTGGGGAGACAGCTGGTGTTTTCAAAAATATAAAAATTAAAATATGGGATACCATACAAGATTCTGTGGGAGTTGAGTTCGGTAAATTACATCTTAAACAGTTTATAATTATTTTTCATAAATGTGATTATTGGCTGCCAGGTGTAAGTAATAATAACATGAAAAAACAATCAATATTTATATATTTAATTCATTTTTCTCTGCTCTCTGAAGATGGTGGGTATTCCGTTCATGGGGTCGAATTGGTACAACTATTGGCAACAACAAGCTAGAGGAATTTGAGGATCTCAATGATGCCATCAGTCAATTTCAAGGACTTTATGAGGAGAAAACTGGCAACCAGTTCACTGCGAGTGAGTTCAAGAAAAAGCCATCATTTTGGTATCCCCTGGATATTGATTATGGCCAGGTATGTAGTACTTATTGATTAAGATTGCTTTATTATAATGAGGAAGCCTCTCTTTAACTATTATTAAAAGAATTTGTTTTGAGAATAATGTTAATACAGCATAGTACATTGTAGCATCACTGCATCAAGCAGTGAACTGCATGATTGACTAAAAATCTCTAATATTATAATTTGTATTTTAGATATTGGCTTATGGACAGATATAGATTGGGGCATTTAAACAGATTCTGTTACAGAAATATAAAACATGACTTATGGCCAAAAATTTTAGAAAATCGTTAAACTGGATAAAACTCGAAGAATTAAGACCTAACCAACAGACATTTTGGTTTTCAGTCATGAATTTCCTGTATATTTAATTACTATAACAGTTGGAGAAATTAATTCCGAAAAAATTAAATGGGCAGATTCTATCTGCTCTTATTTTTTTTTATTAACACATCGGCCGTCTCCCACCAAGGCAGGGTGGTCCAAAAAAGAAAAACTTTCACCATCATTCACTCCATCATTGTCCTGCCAGAGGCGTGCTTACACTACAGCTACAAAACTGCAACATTAACACCCCTCCTTCAGAGTGCAGGCACTGTACTTCCCATCTCCAGGACTCGATTCCGGCCTGCCAGTTTCCCTGAATCCCTTCACATGTGTTACCTTGCTCACACTCCAACAGCATGTTAAGTCCTAAAAACCATTTGTCTCCATTCGCTCCTATCTAACATGCTTAGCATGCTTGATGGAAGTTCAAGCCCCTTGCCCACAAAACAACCTTTACCCCCTCCCTCCGACCTTTTGTGTGCCGACCCCTACCCCACCTTCCTTCCCCTACAGATTTATACGCTCTCCAAGTCATTCTACTTTGTTCCATTCTCTCTGATTGACCAAACTGCCTCAACAGCCCCTCTTCAGCCCTCTGACTAATTCTTTTAGTAACTCCACATCTCCTAATTTCCACACTGAATTCTCTGCAAAATATTTACACCACACATTGCCCTTAGACACGACCTCTTCCACTACCTCCAGCCTCCTCCTCACTGCAGCATTTACAACCCATGCTTCACACCCATATAAGAGTGTTGGTACCACTATACTTTTGTACATTCCCTTCTTTGCCTCCATGGATGATGTTTTTTGTCTCCACACATACCTCAGTGCACCACTCACCTTGTTTCCTTTATCAGTTCTATGGTTAACCTCGTCCTTCATAAATGCATCCACTGACAAGTCAACTCCCAAATATCTGAAAACATTCACTTCTTCCATACCCCCTCCCTCCAATGTGATATCCAATTTTCCATTATTTAAAGTGTTTGATACCCTCATCACCTTATTCTTATCTATTATTACTTTCAACTTTCTACCTTTACGCACCCTCCCAAACTTGTCGCTAAGTGAGGAGAGCCTGTAGTGTACTGTATATTGTAATAAACAGAATAGAGGAAATCATCTCTTAATATACGTACATTATATAGGTATGGATACTGATCAGCGGCCTGTCATAGGTCCGAGGCATCAGTAAATGAGTATGTCGTTAAGTGAGGAGAGGCTGTAATTGTAATAATCTATATGGGGAAGTGGAGCATGCGTGTCGTAAGAGGCGACAAAAATGCCGGGAGCAAGTGGCTAGTAACCCCTTCTCTTTTTCTTAGATCAACCTGCCTCAGTAGGATACAGCTGGTTTGTTGAAAAAAAAATAATAATCGCTCTGGGGTGCTTGAAATGTTGTACACCTACCATCCGATTTACGACCGAGTTCGGTTCCGAGAAACCGGTCGTAAGTTGAAATGGTCGTAAGTCGAACTTTACTACTGAATATCAACAAAACATTTTTGTATTTCATGTTTTGGTATTTCATGTTTTACTTTACTTTTTATGTTGTTAGTACTGTATTTTATACTGTAAGGTTTAGGATAAACACTGTGTACAGCACAAATAGTTGTTTATTTCCCAAAAATTTGGCATAAAAAACACGGTCGTAAGTCGAGTGGTCGTAAGTCGGATGGTAGGTGTATACTACATTATTATAGACATTTTCATTAATCCATCTATGACATTTTTCAAAATTATAATAAATACACTACATATTGTATAAAAATATATAATAGTAAAACAAACACAATTGTGAGGTATGGTAGCTGGGTGGGCTACCACACCTGACTTTCTACAATAAATACTACTTACCTCTCACTGTACATTAAGACTACAAATATGTTTTAAGGTAAGTAATGAGTGTATGTATGTGCATTTTACTTTATTTTTTTTTGTGCCCAGTTTTGTTGCTAACTAATATATGATAGTGTAAACATATTATGAGGCATATGCATTTAAAAGTAAAAAAAGTGATTTGCTTTACAGCAATTTCTGCTTTATGGCAGTAGCCTGGAACTTAATCTGCTGTATAAGTGGGGCCCTATTGTATTTAAATGAAACATTTGGTCAAATATTTAATCTACTTATTAAAGTAACAACTACCCCAGTCAGTCATTGTGTGATAAATGCAGTGAAAAGTGGGGCTACCATAAGCACAGTTTGAGAAGATTATGTGAACAGTACAAATAGTAGATCTATTGCTTCAACACAGGTGCAGTTCTTCAAGGGCTAAATCAAAAGATTCCTGCATAGTGTACCTAGCCTCAAACTGAGTTTTGACGGTAATGAATCTCTCAAAATAGGCCAGACGTAAATCATGGGTTGGCAGTATAGAGAATTTGGTAGAATTGAAAGTTGAAAAGTCTGTCTTATAAGAAAGGTTTTCGTAAGAATTTTCCTTGACATGGTGTGTAACCTGTTATTCCATGTTAAAATATTAATTGTGTCTTCAATTGAACAGGATGAGATTGAGCCGAAGCTTCAGGTAGCAGGGTCAAAAAGCAAATTGCCAAAATCCATACAAGAACTGGTGGCACTTATCTTTGATGTAGGTACAATGAAAAAGTCAATGTTGGAATTTGAGGTGAGTAAGTGTAGAGTTCTGTATCAACTGTGCTTTCATTAGCTTACCAGATGTTATGATTATGCTGTATATACCAGTGTCATAGCCTTTTTAAATTTGTAGGGGGTAAGATTTACCTTTTGATCCTACCTCTTCACACTTATAACTAGCAAAAAGGAAACCTGTCGTGCATCATTTTGAGCTTGTGTATTGGTCTGCTTTTATCGAGTCATTGTTTGGCTCTTTCAACTTTTTAATCACTCCTGTATTATTGAAATGTTTTCTGATATTCCTTTACCTCATTTGTGGGTGTAATTTTAATTAGTGCCATTCCTGTCCTTAGTTCATTCATGGTAAGTCATTTTTTACTTGGTGCTATGCCCTAGAGTATTTTTCATTTCCTTGTGGCTGGGGAAGGCCTTGAGAGTTCTAACAGGACTTGGAGGAGGTTGTCTACCTGTTGCTGATGGTAGGGCATGTAACTCCCATGGCTAGGTCCCAGACCAGGCTACCTTAGTTGATGGCCTGATCATTTAAGCCTGTTGGTGCTAAAAGCACCCCAGCCTGGCTGATCAAGAACTGGTTTCAGGTCTGTAGTGTGATCAGGACCTGTTGTACGACTTGAGTTGTAATGTGACTGGGGGTTTTGGTGATTGAAGCATGACTTGTAATATGATACGGGAATGTTTGTAGACTTAGGTGTTGGGGGATTTGTGAGATTATACATAGGCTATTGCTTTTTTTAAGTCATGGTAACCTTCCAACATGAGTTGATGGGTTGCCATGTTATCTAGGAGTGCATCATCTTTATTTAGTTAAAAGTGAACATAAGAAAGAATAAGTTGATGACGGTAACAAATGATTTAGGTAATATGAGATTTGATATCAGACTGGGAGGAGGAAGTGAATGTGCTCTGATATTTGGGAGTGGACTTATCAGCCTATGGATATATAAAAGAGAAGGTGAACCATAGAATTGATGAGAAAAAAAATGTGGATGGTGCATTGAAGCATCTGTGGAGAAAAAAGCATTATCCATGGAAACAACTGGAGAAATGTATGAGAGTATAGTGGTACCAACACACTTATGAGTGTGAAGCACGGGTTGTGAATGTTACAGTGAGGAGGAGGCTGGAGGCAATGGAGATGTCGTGTCTGAAGGCAATGTGTGATGTAAACATTATGCAGAGAATATGTAGCCTTGAAATTAGGAGGTGCAGGATTACTAAAAGTATTAATCGGTGGGTTGTTGAGGTGGTTTATACATTTAGAGAGGAAGGAGCACAGTAGGATTTGCTGGATGTATAAATCTGTAGCAGAGGGAAGGAGAGATAGGGGTCGCCTTAGGAAAGGTTGGAGGGCAGGGTAAAGGTTTTGTGTGCAAGGGAGCTTGAAATCCAGCAAGCATGTGTGAGCATGCTAGATAGGAGTGAGTGGAGGCAGATGGCTTTTTGAATTTAAGCTGTTGGAGTGTGAGCAGGGTAACATTTTGTGCAGGGCCTTGAGAAAACTGGTTATCCAGACTTGTCCTAGAGGTGGGAAGTGTAGTGCCTGCACTCTGAAGGAGGGGTGGGGATATTTGTAGTTTGGAGGAGCATCTGAACAGTAATATTGGCACACTTCTGGCAAGACAGTGAGGGTGAATGATAGTGTATTCTTTTTCGGGTCACCCTGGGAGGCTGCCAGTGTGTTAAAAAAGTTCTATTATAGGAAACTTGTTCTTCTGATTCATACTGTATGATCAAAGTTTAAATATGAAGGATTTTAATACTGTCTCACATACAGCAATACAATTTGATTTGCATCTTGAAAAATTTATATCAAGTATTTAAAACTAATCACAAGTATAGATATATGATGAATATTGGAAAGCCCATTTTACTCTACAAGTTAATATATAATTTTCAGATTGATGTGAAGAAAATGCCATTGGGAAAACTAAGTAAGAAGCAGATTCAGGATGCATATAAAGTTCTCTCAGAGGCTCTGGAGTTAATCCAGAAGCTGGAGAAGAAGCCTGATGGAGAAGCATCAGATTCTTCTGCTCAACTAATTAAAACTCAGCTTTTGGATTGTTCTAACAGATTCTATACTCTGATTCCACATGATTTTGGCATGAAAAAACCACCTCTTCTTGATGATGTGGAACTAATAAAGGTTTGTGATATGCTTTTTTTGCATTATTGTGGTATAATTTTTGAATACAATATACATATTTTCACTATTATTCCCCCTTTTTTCCCCCTGTATATTAAAGTTTGTTTAAACATTAGACATCATCATCATCATCATCATCATCATCATAACACATTTTGATTACTGCAGTTTATTAACTAATTCTGCTGGCCATCAAAATTAAACTTTTTTTTATCCTGTTCAGAAACTAATTTGGTTTCCAGCATAAAGACAGTGATTATCTAGGAGTAAGGTGAAAGTGTTGAATGATGATGAAAGTATTTTCTTTCTTTTTGAGTCACCCTGTCTCAGTGGGAGACGGCCAACTTGTTGAAAAATTGTATTTTTTTTTTTTTCAACAAGTCGGCTGTCTCCCACCAAGGCAGGGTGACCCAAAAAGAAAGTATTTTCATCATCATTCAACACTTTCACCTCACACATAATCACTGGTTTTGCAGAGGTACCCAGAACACAACAGTTTAGAAGCATATAGTATATATAAAGATACACAACATATCCCTCCAAACTGCCAATATCCCAACCCCTCCTTTAAAGTGCAGGCATTGTACTTTCCATTTCCAGCACTCAAGTTGGCTATATAAAAATAATTCGTTTTCCTGAATCCCTTCAATAAATATTACCCTGGTCACACTCCAACAGCTCGTCAGGTCCCAAATACCATTCGTTTCCATTCACTCCTATCTAAAACGCTCACACATGCTTGCTGGAAGTCCAAACCCCTCACCCACAAAACCTTTACCCCCTCCCTCTAACCTTTTTGAGGACGACCCTTACCCCTCCATCCTTCCCCTACAGATTTATACACTCTCCATGTCATTGTACTTTGATCCATTCTCTCTAAATCACCAAACCACCTCAAGTACCCCTCTTCAGCCCTCTGACTAATACTTCTATTAACTCCGCACCTTCTCCTAATTTCCACACTCCGAATTCTCTGCATAATATTTACACCACACATTGCCCTTAGACAGGACATCACCACCTCCTCACTATAGCGTTTACAACCCAAGCTTCACACCTATATAAGAGTGTTGGTACCACTATACTTTCATACATTCCCTTCTTTGCCTCCATAGATAATGTTTTTTTTTTTATCTCCACATATACCTCAGTGCACCACTCATCTTTTTTTCCTTCATCAATTCTGTGGTTAACCTCATCCTTCATAAATCCATCCACTGACACGCCAATTCTCAAATATCTAAAAACATTCATTTTTTCCATACTCCCTCTCTCCAATGTGATATCCAATTTTTATTTAAATCGTTTGATACCCTCATCACCTTACTCTTATCTATATTCAATTTCAACTTTCTATCTTTACACACCCTCCCAAACTCGTCCACTAACCTTTGCAACTTTTCTTTAGAATCTCCCATAAGCACAGTATCATCAGCAAAAAGTAACTGTCAATTTCCATTTTGTATTTGATTCCCCATAATTTAATCCCACTCCTCTCCCCAACACCCTAGCATTTACTTCTTTTACAACCCCATCTATAAATATATTAAACAACCATAGTGACATTACACATCCCTGTCTAAGACCTACTTTTACCGGGAAGTAGTCTCCCTCTCTCCTACACACCCTAACCTGAGCCTCACTATCCTCATAAAAGCTCTTTACAGCATTTAGTAACTTACTACCTATTCCATATACTTGTAACATCTGCCACATTGCTCTCCTATCCACTCTTATATGCCTTTTCTAAATCCATAAATGCAGTGAAAACGTCCCAACCTTTATCTAAATACTGTTCACATATATGCTTCAATGTAAACACTTCATCTACACATCCTGTATGCACTCTAAAGCCTCCTTGCTCATCTGCAATCCTACTCTCTGACTTACCTATAATTCTTTTAATAATAACCCTATCATACACTTTACCTGGTATATTCAGTAAACTTCTTCCCCTATAATTTTTACAGTATCTTTCGTCCCCCCGCTCTCTGAATATCCCATGGTACCTTACCCTCTTTCATACATTTCTTCTTTCTTTCAACACACCGGCCGTATCCCACTGAGGCAGGGTGGCCCAAAATGAAAAACGAAAGTTTCTCCTTTCACATTTAGTAATATATACAGGAGAAGGGGTTACTAGCCCCTTGCCCCCGGCATTTTAGTTGCCTCTTACAACACGCATGGCTTACGGAGGAAGAATTCTGTTCCACTTCCCCATGGAGTTTCATAGATTTATTAAACAGAAAGACTAACCTCTCCAACACAATCCCCCCCCCCCCCCTGCACTTTTAATATTCCTGTCATGATCCTGTCAGTTCCTGCTTGTTTACTCTCTTTTATTCTACGTATTTACATTGCAGTTGTCATGGGTTTTTTGCTTACCTGGATACTTCAGACTTAGAATTTTGTTTTTGTCTCCAGTTAGTTTTCTTTAGTTGAACTTTTCTTAGCCTTTTAAATGTCATGTAAGATTAAAGAAAATGCTTTCAGATTTGTTATGTGAATGTTCTGGGATTGTATTATAATGTGTATATTATGAGGATGGGAAAAAGTATTTGAATGCTTATAAAATTTTGCTTTAAACTTAGAATATATACTTTAGGTATCTTATTATTTATGGTTTATGGATATAGCAATTTCATTGTAACACAGTATGGGATGTTTTACATTGTAACATGGGAATTAGTTGGTTGTTGCTGAAACAGTGCCTCATCTATGATCTAAAATTTAGCACATGTACCATATGACCTTACAGTTTGCTATATTACTCAAATGCTGTATAACCGCCAGATGCCAAATTTGAGAGCTGATGTGATTCACCATGAGACCTAGTTCTCGTATTCACTCTTCCTAGGTCATTGCATTTGACTCGTGCACTAGTATTGATACACTGTTTTCTTCACAGGGTCATGTGTAATTAAGTATAAAGTTTAAATTATTTGTAATATGCATTTGAAATAATTGTTAATTATAATAAACATGACTAAACCCACAGACGAAGATTGGCATGCTAGATAACCTCAGTGAGATTGAGGTGGCATATAGCCTTCTTAAATCTGAGGGTAATGATGACAAAGATGCTGATCCAATTGATAAACATTACCACAAGTTGAAGACGAAGGTGAATGAAGTAGACAAGAAGGGTAAAGAATACAAAATGATTCAAGACTATGTGTCTAACACACATGCAACAACACATTCACATTACAAACTGATTGTTGAGGAG